CCCACCCACAGCTCTGTCTTGATTTTTCTACAATAGCAGTTCATAAAATATAAATATTAAAACGAACCCCCCCCCATAGCCAATTTTACTGGAAACAAAATAGGCCTAAACAAACTACCTGAAAATACAGCTGATCTCATGTCTTCCTCTCTTCAAGAAAGGCGTTAATTGGCACTAAACAAAGCAAAGGTGTCCATTCCAAACAATTCTTCAAACAAAAACAGCGCAAAGAATAAGACAAAGTAGGGGGCCTCACTAAGTAAGAGAGCGATTACAGCAACAGTACAGTAAACATGTTCAAGCCCCGACATAATCCACGGGCGCGCATGAGTTCCCGTTACGCCCCGTGGACAAGGTTTTTCACAGGAAACAGCCGCGAGGCACTTTCTGACGAACTCGGCCGCACTCGGGTTTCCTTGGGCTTGAACTAGTAACAGGTTTCGTTTTTCCATTTCCTGCTACCCTTTTTTCGTTTTTGTTTTGGCAGAAAAAGGTTGTCTTAGTTTTTAGTTGTTTGTGTTTCAGTGAAATAAAATGAAACAAAAACGAGTGTGTTTCGTTTATTTACATAATGGTAACTGTATACAAAGGAAAACGATTGATGATTTTGTTTCATACCATTAAAAACGGAATGCGGTAACTCGATGCGTTGTCCCTTTTTCTAAACACAGACTCCAAAACGGTGTACGATAAAGGGCTTGTTTTTCTTTTTTCTTTTTGAAATTCCAAAACGGTAACCGGTAAAGGGTTTGCTTTTTCTTTTTTCTTTTTAAAAATTCAAAAACAGTAACTGGAAAAGGGTTTGCTTTTTCTTTTTTCTTTTTAAAAATTCAAAACCAAAACAGGGTAAAGGGTTTGCTTTTGCTTTTTTTGTTCAAAAATTTCAAAACAAAAATTGGCAAAGGGGTTGCTTTTTCTTTATTCTTTTCAAAAATTCAAAAACAAAATTTGGTAAAGGGTTTGGTTTTTCATTTTTCTTATCAAAAATTCAAAAACTGATAAAGGGTTTGGTTTTTCATTTTTGGTATCAAATATTCAAAACCAAAAATTGGAAAAGGGTATGCTTTTTCATTTTCTGTTTACAGATTCAAAAATGGTAAAAGGCAAAAGAATTTCGTTTTTCTGATTTCCTTTTCCAGACGCATAACCGGTAACTGGTAAACGATTTGCTTTTTCTGTTCCTACACCAAGATTATAATTGGGTAAACGGTAAAGGGTTCGTTTTCCTTTTTTCTTTTGACGATTTTCAAACGGTAACTGATTGGACGGTATGTACACGGACCTGAGTGGCGCACCCGCTGTCACGTACCCGTTGGTCAAGGCATAGAGCTAAACAAAATCAAACAAAAACGTGTGTCCTTGAACGTGTTACTTTACTTTTACTTCATTTCATCCCAAGGCATAGAAAAAAGAAATGTGAACTCAAGGGCGGATCGGGGGGGGGGGGGGGGGGGGGGGCAACGGGGACCCATTTCCCAAATAGGTGGCGCTCTTCAAAACCGGCCATTATGCAAACTACGAATAATGTGCGGTTATGTGCCCATTTTCAGGGCGCATTGTAAGGTTTTCAGGGCTTATATTCATCCCAAAGTAATACAAATCGAAGACGTCTACAAAAAAGGAAAACAACAAACTTTATTATTTCAGAATTCCAGTAATATAGTTTTTCCCGGTTATTTTAACATCTGTATCACACGAATTCCCGATCTCGATACTTTCATTTCGTCCACGAACATTGCAAAGCTCACTTCTCAATTTGAAGTTCAAAAAACCAGCACTAGATTTCATTTAACGTTCAGTATAAATCAAATTTTTAGCATGCCGATTCGTCCAAAATCGCTGTCGCTGTCATTACATGTCGTTTCTAGTGACTTAAACGTTACGATTAGAAACTGTGTCCTATCTTTGCATTTATTCGAAGAAGTGTGCGCATTACTACAATTATAGTTTCAACATATAATTATTTCCTTATATGAGTAAATAAAAGTAGTCAAGCTATAAATGTAAAATCTCTTTTACTGTGTTTCACAATTAACATAACGATTAAAAAATGTGTCCAATCTTTGGACTTATTGGAAGAAGTGTGCGCATTACTAAAATTGTAATTTCAACATAGATTTCCTTATATGTAAATAAAAGTAGCCAAGCTTCTGTTTTAGAATCTTCTTTTCTGTGTTTCACAATTAACATTAGAATCAGGAATAGATCTGTCATATTAATGCTCTTTACTCATGGCATGAAAATTAAGCATTAAGATCAAACAACTTCGTTGTTGCTCTTTGATATATACAAACCTAACTTCTGTGGTTTTATTCATTATATATTTATATAGAGACAAAGGACAATTTTATGTTCATTTTTTATCAGTATTTGCATTGTTACACGACACTTAGAAACGTAAACTTAAACGATATCTTCATAATGCCATTTTTCAGCCTTCAATCTCCTCTCTGGCCATGCATCTTGGTTTGGGAGTGATTGTACCATCTTTGGCACTTGTTGGGTGTTATCTCATCCACATTATGTTGAGCAGCTTCCACCAGTAGGCGTATATACCCTCCATCCCTGTATGGTCAAGCCTTCATTCGCAGCAGCCTGGGGGTCAGATATCCTTATTTGCCATTCGGTAAGTCGTAAGAGTCTTTTTACCCAAGCTTTGAAGCAGGAGTGTGCATTTTCAACAGGATTGAGAAATGGGGAGTATGGGGGGAAGCCGCGTCAGTTCAATGTTCTCATTCCCTGGTGCAGGGTGGCAGTTCAGCAAGAACATGAGGCCTTGCGTTGTCGTAGATGAAGTACAAGTGCTCTTCTTGGGGAAACATTTCCTGGCAGGCTTCAACTTTTTCCTGCAGAAATTTTTCAATTGACGCACGTGTTGTGGTGTGCAGGTTTATGGCATGATGGACAAGTCCGACTTCAGGAGATATGGCAAATGTAACGATGCAGTTGTTTCCACGTTGGTTTTGCAACACTCTGCGAACGGGTTGTCCTCTAACTGCTCTCCCATATGAACGTCGCGTCCAAATGTTGTATCCGCATTCATCGATGGAGATGCAGTGACCAACGACGCCTTGTCTTAAGAACCACTTGGCATATTCTTGTCGCTGTAGGATCACTCTGTCAGCGTACGGGCTTGAGATACATTCTGAGCTAGCTTGAGCGTGATCAACATGCCGACTATAGTCCGTGCTAATGTATTTATTGCAATACGTGGTTTATCAGGGAGCCGTTGTCGTATTTAGTTGGCCCGAGGTTAACAAGGGGTTTTTATCCAGTAACTGTTGAAGGTAATTCTGCATTTCTTGATCCGTTTCTGAACGTGTTCTCCCTCCTCTTGGTAGAGCATCTCTTCTGTTCTCACGAAGGTAAGTTAAGACGATGCTGCGAGCAGTTTGGCGCTTCACGCCAAGAGTGTCAGCAACGGTCAGATAGTCGTGTTCATCTCCTTCGAAAGCGTCTATGTATGATGCGACCTCTGTCCGCGTTTGAAACCTAATTGTATCGACCTCTTTGAAGCCCTCCACTGGTAGCCATCTTTTTTTTCCAGACCGAGTCTCAACAACGAGTGTCAAGACAACTCAGAAATACCCCGAAATTTATAGGACTTCGTGGGCTAGAGAATGAGGAGAGTGCACGATCAGAATTAAAATGACCAAAACGTTAAAGTTAATGACAAAAACGAATTTGCTTTGTCATTCAACGCCGATTGCTACAAGAGACGAACTTCAAAGATTTTGGACGAATCGGTATGCTTAAAATTTGAATTATATTGAACGTTGAATGAAATTTAGTGGTGGCTTTTAAGAAGTGAGCTTGGCAATGTTCTGGGACGAAATTAAAGTATCGAGGGAATTCGTGTGATACTTATGTTAAAATAACCGGGAAAACCTATAAAATAAACCAACAAAAGCAAAAGTAAATTGATATAATTATATAAATCTTACCACACGCCCCGAATTATAAGCCCGGTATACGATATTCAATTTTACTACACAACTTACTCTGAATATTCCTTGTAAAACGTTTGTAAACAAGACAAGTTTCATCACAGAAATTAGGATTACATCTCCAGTGCTATATAAAGAAAAAACTACAAAGCCATGAAACCCAGTATCGTTAGTATACCAATTTGAAAGAACATGTACTTTACATTTTACTGTCAATAAATTGTGATGATACAAATGATTTTAAAGAAAAAACCCTCTAATTATTGAACTTTGAAGGAAAAACATTGAAAATTTTACCTAACTGTGAAAGAAATTGAGTCCTTAAAAACCAAAATAGTTTCCGTAAAATTACACTGCGTGGGACTTTATGTAGGAGCACTCTTGTCAAAACCTAACGTACAAGATCAAGTTCACCACGCGTTTCATAGCCTCAATGATAAGTGTCATCGTCCTCGCTTATAACATAGCCTAGAACAAGCTAAACTGGTGAGCGTTTCAACAAGCTTTAACGCAAAAAGGCGGATGATTGACCATGATTTACCACCATGCAGTTCGTGTCTTGCGCACCAACTTGTTCTCAGCAATGAGTTCACGGAGAAAAGCCATGCAGCCAAGCTTGCCTTGCTGAGAAGGGGAAAAAATGGAACAAAACATTAAAATACTAGATATCTAAACGAAACGAAAACGAGTTTTAACTCGAGTACTACAGCATAATACCTACGACCAAAACACTGTCACAATTCTAATGGAGTTGCACTAAATTAAATGTACTCAGGAAAACTGAAGGTAGGAATTAGCACTCCTTTTGGAACAGAGCGGATCAGAGGTTGGAGAGAAACAAGCACCAGGCTAGGAATTGCAAAGAAATGCAGCACGTGGCAAAAAGCTATTGGAACTTTTCTTAAATGTAGTTTTTGTAAGAAATTCAAGAGGCCAAAAGATTCTGCCTGACTCGACCAGTCAGTTATTACCCTAAACATACTCACCAGCCACCCTCCCCCTCCCCCACCCCCGGCTCTCCCCCGACAATGAAACTGGGTCCCGCCTACTCACCAAGGAAGACTTTGGTGATATCACCTCTCAGGAATGTCTCGATATCATACGAGTTATATCCAACAGACGCAAGAGCAGCAACCATTGAACCGGCACTGGCCCCAGCAAAACGTTTGATGTTTCCCCAGTAGCCAAGCTCCTCAAGGACCTGTGATACAAGGAGAAAATCTATTTTTAATGAGCAACTGTATTATGTCCATACTGCATTTTTAATATAAATATCCCAGACTCTGTAAGTTTTCCATTGCATGCAGGGACACATTTTCAATTCAGTTTGTCAAAGGATGGTTATTTTGTATAATTAACACAAGTCATAACCGAGTACAAACTTTGACTTGAGCGGCCCTCATAAAGAGCTTGCAAAGAGCGCCCTCACTTTAGACAGGTTTTGTTATCAAACTCAGCGAAAATGACAGTATAAAGCGTCTACTCACGCGTATCACAGAGGAGCAATGACCAGAGGGCGCTCTGTACAAGCTGGCCTATACGTATTTCCAGCAGTAAATAAAGCCGTCGAGTTTTGTACATAACCGTCAATATAATACTGGTGCCGTGTTCACTGCGACATCAGGTCCGATCTTATTCAACTTTAAAACATTTTGAAAAGCAACGAGTGTAACTGATCAGTACCGACGATTTTTTGGCCAAAATTTGGTATAGGTCTACTCCGGAAATTCTTTCGCGCACTTACATGTAGGCCCATTATACGATAACCGGCAAAGTTTTCCAAGTTACTTTACAATGATTGCGTTAACATTCAAATTCTACTTTTTAACGATCTTTTTCACTACAGTATTATCATTTCGTGATAAGCACATTTCGAGCCCAAAGGGATCGTTCTCTCAAAACTCTCCTCTTAAAAGAATTGTTCAGTTGTTGAATCTCGGGTTGGGAAAGGGGGGGGGGTTGTCGGCATAAGGCTCATACTTATTATTCAGACGGAAGGGGACGGTATCGCAACCAAACTCCGAAGCCCGTAATTGCATAACTCCCGTAAGCTCCGATTCCGTTTGCCAAGTCATGAAACAGAATCAAGATGAGAACAAAACACAGACTCTCATAAATAAGATTCGAATCTGATTCAATGAGCCGTCAATAAGCTGGGGTAGTGCTCTGTCATCCGTGCCCAGATAAATTGTAAGTCCGAGACAGGATTTTGTTTTATAAGAGACTTTCTACTGTGAAATTTCACAGTAGAGAGTTAAGCCTTTACATAACAAGTCCTGTATTATTATTTTGTTTTCTCTTTTGCCCTTTCCAGGCCTTTTATTATTCGCATATTCCTCCAACATTAAATATTAACAAAAGCATTACATGTACTTAGTGACATAATAAATAATACTTTACAAACTTAAATCACAGAAGACAGTTCTCAAAGCATTCAAGATTCTTTTTAACTTGGTAACCTTACTGTCCCAATACAGCTCTCTCAACTTCTCTTGGTTTCTGCCGAAATCACTTAATAGGGTCCACTGGCCATTTTATACCGGCAAGATCACAATTATTATTACCTTTGCCTAGCCATAGACCATCTGTTTTATTGAGGTTAATCTCTAAACCGGCCACCTTTTCATAAACACCAACTTCATTTAGTACATCCATGACGGAGTTTATTCTCTAACAAAGATGGTCGTGTCATCGGCATTTTGGGCGGTTTTAATTTCCGTTAGGTTACCATTTTGATCTATCTGGATACCTTTGATGTTTCTGTTAGCTTTAATCTACAGAGCCAAAATTTCTGCAATTATAAACAATAATGCTGATGGAGGACAGCCTTGTCTGATGCCTCTAGAAACAATGAAATAGTTTGACAACCAGCCATTTTGTGTGACACAACTCTCTATGTTACTGTACAACACATTTGTCCACTCTAATAGAGACGACCAAAGTTGAAAAACCCCAACGCTTTCTTATTGAAGTTAACCTCAATTGTGTCGAACGCTTTTCTGAAGTCTAAGAAAAAAATGGCTTCTTCAGTTTCTTTATCCAAGCGCAAATCAATAATGTCTTGAATACGGCGAAGTCCTGTATGATGTAACTATTGTTTGGACGTTTCGACACATCAAAACAAATTGATCCTTACATGCATTCATTGAAGTCGCTTCTGCGCATGCATGGCTTTGACTACAGGGCAAATCACCACAGGCTATCAGCTTCGGCCCAAAAATTGGGCAATCGGCATCAAATGTTTAAAGCGATTTTTTGCAAGGTATATGGAGTTGGAAAATGTGAGAAAGCTTTGCAGTGTGAGCGGTGGCAGTTTTTTTGGTGTTATCACTTTTCATGAGATGGAATTTTATCTTTTTTTTTTAAATGGCCGCTAAGATGCTTGTTACCGGATTTAATTTTATGTGGTAACAAGCATGTTTTGGCCGCCATTTTTACAAAAAAAGTGATAGCACCCAAAAAGCTGCCACCGCTGTAATGCTATCACATATTTTCCAACTAAAAGGGTGCATACCTTGAAAATAAATCACAATATTCCCCTCATTTGACACTGACCAAACCCCTAGGTTGATGGCCTAACACAGTTCTGTTTTGTCTGTCGGCTCCCCCAATATCTGAGAACGGCGCAGTGTACATGCAGCATCATAATTATGCTGGGTTTTTTTTCCAGGGACTTGACTAACGTGATCTAACCAAATTCCAAATGTTTCTCAGTCTCACGTAAATGTTTTCGAACATAATTGCAAGTGACGAAGGGCGGGATTCTTATATGAAGCGGCCGGCCAGGATAGATTTGAATAAAAAAGGCCGGGTTATTTTGACCATCTCACAGCCGGGGGGGGGGGGATTACGCCCCTTAAGATCTCGGCCATCGAGTGACGAAAAATTATGAAACTCAATATGCATAGAACTAGCCCCATAAATGTGGCCAATTTACTGGACTACCTCCGTAAATAAAGGCCACACTTCCACCATGTACAAAAGCATGTACAACAACATGTACAACTTAGTCAAATTGTGATTATCACATTTAGGCTTAGTTTGTAGTTAATTTTTACTTTAGAAGCATGCTTAACCAAATTTATAGGCTAATCAGAAAGTGCTGCCTTTTTCAGATGTCTATTTTTCGTGAAATTTCCAGATTCGTTTGCACACGTTTGCGTATCGACATGTTTTTGTACATGGTGGAAGTGTGGCCTTTATTTACGGAGGTAGTCCAGTAAATTGGCCACATTTATGGGGCTAGCATAGAACAACTTATGAGGTACATACCATAACAATTTAATGACTATATGTCAAAGGGTTTTGGAATTATAACTAATTAATTATTCATGCGCAAAAACGGTAATTCTGCTTTGTGTACACTACGTATGGGGAAATTCACGTAATTTTTCTCGCTGCGCGGCCCGGCAATCCGTGGTTCGAATTATATGTTTTTGTTATCAAAAATGAGGGGGGGGGGGTGTTGGATTCCGCCCCGGCCCTTTTAGGGCTAAGGCACTAGTTTGAAATCTACGATGGCAATTTGAACTGCCTTAAGCAATTTAAGAATACATGTACATGTACATTTAGAAACTTTAGAATTCCATTTATTATTATTGGCCCCATTTTACTAGTAGTGAAGTTAACACAAGTCAGCGGCTGTAAAAGGGGGTGTCTAACCCGCCCGACCCGCTACTGCACTTTTAAGGTAAAATATGGTGACAAAAATACGGTGTGAGGATTCTGAATTCTACCTGTTTATTTGTGCATTTAGTGTATGTGGCACTGTACTGACCCGAATGGCCCCCGTTGCCGCCAATCCCTTGTTGCCTCCGCCCTCAAACACGATGGTGTCGAAGCAGAAGTCATATCCCACAAATTCATCTTTCTGCCTAACTGTGAGAAGCTCCGATGAAGCAGCAACGGAAGAGTAAGCCACGGGAGACTTCAGCCGAGTCGGCGACTTGACACCAAGGGTCGACATGTCTCCTTGTCTTTGAACGGACGAGTGCCGTTTTGCTCCGGAGCTGATCGCGATTGTGTATTTTGCGTGTGTGAACCTCGATCTATCACTTATTAATGTTATTTTATTATGAGTATTTTGTTCAGTGTAGAAAACATGAAAGGTATTGGGGAACTGTGTGCATAAATTCTTGTACGCGTTGATAGAGAAAGTTTTATACATTCTGCAGCGTTATTTAAAGCATACCTTGATTAACGTGTTAGCCGCACATATCATGACGATAGCATCACCGTGACCACTGACAAACGAAATGGCTGTGTTCAAGTTGTCCATCCAACCACAAATTGCAGGCGAGAATTCCGAGTTGAACAGTTATGTTAACGCAAGCCAAGACACAATGAACACCATGAGCAAATATTCCAGAAATCGAAAGAGCGCCAACTTTACTTAGGCCTAACCGGTACAGCTGCGAACGGTAATATCCAGTCACAGACTCATTCAGATTATTCGGGCTTTACAAAGAGGCATGAATGTACACAATGTATATGCTTCACTGTTTACTGTCTTTCTTTTAAGACACGACATGCTTTTTCAATTCAACGCCCATCTCCCCATGAGACGAATTTCCCTACATTTAGACGAATCAGAATGCTAAATTCGTGAATTACACTGGAAAATTTCACCTAAAACGATATGAAAACCACCACGCGTGTAAAAGACAAGCTGTTAAACGTATGCTTAACCCCACTCGTCACAGCTGCCGCAACTGGAACCTAACTCCTCCCTACCCTTGCAGCCAGCCCCGACGCCACCCCACTTTGTTTCGCTACTTTACGGCAAATTACCGTTACATTTACGAGCCGTCATTTTAGGAAACCTGTAACTAACCGTAATTTTACGGGTTTTTTGTTGGCAACCCGTTTAACAGTGCTTCCAAGTGGTGCTTTTACCGTTATATCACGGGCAATTGTTTATCGTGTACTCTCTCTACCCAATACGATAACTGAACGTGCTAGAATTATTGATGATTTTTTTAGATCGCTGTTCTGGGATCCTTATTACAAATGTACCGGTATCAGTGATCGCTTCCCAGTATTTAATGATTATTTTGTAAATTTTGGTGAAAATGTCGCAAGCAAGATGCTAACGCCTAACGTTTCTTTTGATTATTTTCTTCCCCGTGAGATGCTGTGATTTTTATGCCATTGGACACTGAGGACCTTTACAATTTCCATGAATGATGAAAGTATACTTTATGTATTCTACAGCTGGCGAAACGTCTCATAATTTTTGCTGGATTATGTACTACTACATGTACTGTATGTTTCACCTTGAATTGGACTACTCAGCCATATGGTTGTTAACCGCAAAGAGTCGCCGTTGTTAGGCAAAACTAATCCGATTACGTACTTAGACGCTATATCGCAGCAGTGAAATTCATGCAACCCCAAAAACATGGCATTTTGAACGTTGTGTTTCTCAGAAAATATGCTCGGTGTGATTGAAATATTACATTCTAACTGAAAAAGAAATTCTAAACTAAATGTCAGTGAAAAAAAATCGCCGTCATTGATGCCGAAACCTCAATACTGGTTACTGTTAAAGCTGACCTTCAAGTCTGGAAGAAATCGTTCGAAAACTTCCCCAAATGTATGTTTTTATCCCAATTTCTAGGAATTTATCCCACTTGTTATTTCACGAAAAAATGAACACTCATATCATCTAAGTATAGTCCGAATTTCAGCTTAATCTGTTTCTTCGGAGGCTAGTGTTACAACGTGAACAATCTCCATGGAAAATTTCGAAGAAAATCAAAAAAATTATTTGCCAACCCACTCAACCCATGTGCATTGTTCAGCAAAGCGCCGTCTAGGCGCTACGGCTGACCGATTTTGGCCCCGCACACAAATGATGATGACGGGCATATTAGCATATTCATTAGCGTCACTCGGCGTGACAGGGCGTGGGTCTCGGTATTGACCAATGGAAGCCGGCAAAAAGGGTGATATTTGTTAATTAACAACTTTTGAAGGAGGCTTTTATCCCATTGTTTACTGCACACCGGAATATTCGTGAGGCTTGAAAAGATTGATAGATATTGCGCACGCCAGTGTTACAATTTTCAAAATGCACGTAGCGAGGCCTATTTTTCCGATTTCAACGAAAAGTAATGAACATATCACAACGACTTTTAGCACATACTTGGATCATTATAGGGGAAATAAATCCTGAAAGTTGCATGAAGATACGGTCTTCCAAACTGGATAAATTAATTTTCAAAGATTTCACCCGTCAACGTGACCACGTCTGTGTACATGTAGTTTCCTTCAAAATAAAGTGTTACGTAACCTTTAAAAATCACCCTTCGCAACCATATGGCTGTACTACCCTACGTGTAAACAGTTCCTACACACGCAACACACCCTATTGTTGACAATCATTCGTCCATGAAAACAATAAGAAGCAATTGCTACATGTTGTCTAGTAAATGCTGTACAGTAAAGGAAAGTTTTTTATTCATACGGAATCAAGCATTTGCTTAAGCGCTTGTCCTTAATGCTTGTACTCCAAAGTAAATGCTTCTTCCTAGCATTTACTAGTTTTTATACATACCACCCAACACCCACACACTCTCAAATTTGTATCCTTGTGGAGACATTAATTTCTTTGTTCTCGTGTAGTAAAGTTTTCAATTTTGAAAGTGAAGTTTCAAAATGCTCTTATTTTAACCAGAACTAATTTCCTTGGCTGAAATTCGGACTTAATATCCTTTTTCTAAAACTCTTCCATTTGCGACGGATCAACCCACCTTGGAAATTCCTTGTTTTTGAGTAAAATCCATATATCTATTTCGTGAAAACCTTGTGGAGACCTATTCATCTATAGAAATTGCCTTGTGGAGACCTTTACAATGTTTTGTTCCCTATTGTGTGCGTGTCTCCACAAGGATATAAATTTGAGCACAATAATTATTGTCTACACACTTTCTATTGAGAAGGCCTCCCTGTATTGGGATGGGATTGTATTGGTTTAGATACTTGATTTTTTTAAACAAATCCATCGCTTCAGGTGTCTTTCCATATGGGCTTAGGGTTGGCAAGGTTATACCTTTTTTGTTAAAAGTTTGATTTTTTTTGTAAACATTCCCACAGATTGCCAATTCGGGTTTAGAGAAATAGATCGACTGAAATGACGGTACGTACTTCTTGTTGTTGAAAATAATATATTTAACGCAACAGAACATAAGAAAATTTCTGTAGGGGTATTTTTAAGACATGTCTAAAGCTTATGATACGGTTAACCATAATATTCTTATTCAAAAATGACGTCGGTGTTGGGCCCCTTCCTATTTATCATGTTCATCTATGACAATTGTTATTCTTCAAGTGTCATATGTTGTTGTTTATTTGCTGATGACACTAGTTTACTCTACGATCATGATATCGATACAGGTTCATAATATTGTCTTTTATGTATGCTGGGACACATGGAAGACGAGTGGGTTCATCTGAATAGGCCACGCAGTTGAAATAATAAATAAATAAAAAAATATGGACCTGAGATGTAATGGCTTTGTTTACAAGTCGGGAGTGCTTTTTAGGGCGAAACATGCGCGAAGGCACCCGCGCAATGGCACAAAAAAAGGGAACGATTTTTTTTTTACAAGGGCAGTTGTTCAGAAAAAGGTCACTTGCTAACAAAAGAATGGCACGCTTTGTGAATATGGGGGGGGGGAGTAAGTGATGGTGAAAAAAAGGCAACATGGAAAAGGGCGGTCTTTTCAATTATTGGGGGGGGGTTAAATACCCCTTAACCGCCCGCCCCCCCCCCCCCCCCCCGGCTACGTCAATGTAAATGGAGCGGGATTAAGGGAGGGAAAATTCCATACTGGGCCACCACTCGGAGCTCTTGCACAAAGTCTATGGGCCATGACGGAACATTTCAGCTATTATCACAGAATTTTTGCTCTCCTTAAACAGTGATTCTTCATCAGATTTACAATTATGGTACTTTTCAGGTCATATTCTGGAATATGAGTGGTGGCCCAGTATGGGTTTTTTTTCCTTGCGGGAACAAGGAATCACACTTGGTTGCAATAGTTCCAATGTCTCATCAACTGGGGATTTATACAAATGTGATCAAAAACGTAGGCACAACGTAAAACTCATACTGACCCGAATCGCCCCCGTTGCTGATAGGCCCTTGTTCCCTCCGCCCTCCAACACGATACCATCATAGGGGAAGTCATATCCTCCGAGTTCCTCCTTCTGTTCAGCCGTGAGAATCAGTGAGCCGGCGGCCGAGGAAGAAGCTTGAGAGACTGCCGCACTCATCCCGTTGGCACCATCACCTGTCTCGCCATCAGGTTGTTGGGAAATTTCCGCGTACTTTGAATTTGAGTTCATTATTGACAGCTTTAAATCGAATGCGAGAACAGTAAAATGCAACTAAGTGTCGAGAACTCACACGCACAATGCACTTCCCTGCACGCGTCCAGCCCGGTTGAACCTTTTAGGTTGCGGGTCAGACCATGGTCAGACGATGGGCCGCACCATCAAAAGCCACAGTGCTACCCTAGGCCCGTATTGTGCATGCTCGCTGTTCCGGAACAAAGATCAACTGTATTGAAACTACCTGCCAAGGTTTTTTTTTTTGGATTTTGTTGGCCTTGGGTGATATGAATGTGGCCTGTTTTCGAGTAGTATAATTGGGGCGTAAGTGGCGCCACCAACGTCAAAATAGGCCGTCCCCAAAAAGAAACCCCAATGTTTTTCTTCGGCCAAAAATTTTGGGCAAAATTTCTTGAAAAAAAGTTTAACTTTTAACAAATTTGTAAAAAAATAATTGTGAGCCCCACAAAACCAAATCCTGGGTGCGACACTGATGCCAAGATGCAAAACACACTATGACTTGCCTACCGCTGTCACTCACACGTTGGTCAAGCCCATGGAGCTAAAAAAATCAAACAAAAACTTGACCCTTGAAAATTTTACTTTACTTTTACTTTATTTCATCCCAATGAATGTGTACTTTAATTAATAGAAATTATTGTGATTCATTATGGCTTTTAGAAAATAAAGATAAGTATAACACAGAAACTAGAAAGCACTCAGAGAGCGCAAACCTCCGCCAAGGCTAAACAATTCCCCGCCATATTGTCAGTAAACCCCAAAGAAATACAAATCAAGGACGTCTACAAAAAGGAAAACAACAAACTTTATTATTTCAGTATTCCAGTAATAATAAAATAAACCAACAAAAGCAAAGTTAAATTGATATAATTGTATAAATCCAATTACTATACCTCATACATATTCATGACCGAAAGCCGAATTCTCACTGGTCCATTCACCATCACGTGCCAGATGTTATTTTTGCTGTTTACCAAACGCGCGCGCGAATATTCATGCACAGGTTAAGTACGCATGCGTAGTAGACTGTCGCACGGGTTACCCGTGCGACGGTCTACTACGCATGCGCTTTACGAAGCAATCGTTGAACTGTCGCACGGGTGAAGCACATGTAACCTGGAAAATTGACACACTTGGGGATTCAACTCGACACAAAGAATTTAATACAAGACCAGGATCTAAGAACAAGTCGCGAACTATTTTATTAAGAAAAGGATTTTAAAATGAAACAAACATGAGACCAAAAAAAAACAAAGTTAAAACTACAAAACTGAGATAAAAAAAAACTAAAACCAAAACCAAAACAACCTGATAAACCTAAACCTAAACCCTATAACAATAAACTATAACCAAAAGTAAACCAACTTAAACCAACACAGAGCGTCAAAATAATGGACCTTAAATGCACTCTGACTGAAACCAGGTGACTATAGCAGCTCAAAACACACAGGGCAGGCGCTCCCAAGAAAAGGGGAAAGAGAGGAAATAACTCTTCTGTGCCGCTGGTCTGCTAAGTGAGGGGTCTGTGGTCTTACAGGGTGGCAGAGCACATGGTCTTATCAAAGGGGCTATTCAGTGTTCTAAGGGGTCATGTTACTGGGGAAGAGGGAAAAGTTAATCAGGGGTACACATTTCTATGAACGGGTAGGGGACATCTAATAAAAAGGGGTGATTTATTCAGGGGTCTACTCCTATACTAAAGCACTACAAAAATACATTGAAAAACTACAAGTAAAACTTGGCCCTGCCACACACGCACGCGCGAACATCGCCCTATAGCTACACATGAAACGATGGTTGCCAAGTAAAAGATGATAAGCGTTTTCCCGAGCTGAGTGATGCCAAATTGGAGAATATTGTGGACAATTACAAAGATGTATGTGCTAAACAAAAGTTGTCCACAAACAATTGTACTGACAACCGCAGTTACTGTATTGCAAACAAACTGACATTTTTGGAGTTTGAGCAATATTTTTCTTCTGGTGAGCTGGACAAGTTTCTCCGAAGATTCTGTTGCGGATGCATACCGCGGGAAAAATCGGCAACTGAATATGTATGAGGTATAGTAAAACAAATATAACATGGTTTATTTCGGGTGGACAGTCGATATTAGCTCCCCTCGATATTGGAAGTTGACAAACTAGTTCCCGAGGCGAACTTCCAATACCTCGGGGAGAGAATACCGACTGTCCACCCTCAAACCATTTTATATTTGTATACTACATGCCCCGCTTTATAAGCACGGTATTCAATATTCAACTTTACTTCCCAACAGTGGCGCACCCAGGATTTAGCTTGGGGGGGGGGGCTCACAATATTTTTTTTAGAAATTTGAATTTCCTTATAAAATGTTGCCCAAAATTTTTGGGCGCAGGAAAAAAAAGGTTTTTTTGAATTTTTGGGGCGGATTATTTTGACGTTGGTGGCGCCATTTACACCCCTATTATACTACTCGAAAATAGGCCACATACATTATCACCACGGTCAAATCGTTGGACTAAAAAACAAAAATTACCCCCCAAAAATATTTTAACAAATTTACATTCGGGGGGGGGGGGAGGGCTCAAGCCTCCCGTGAACCCCCCCCCCCCCATTTTGTGCGCCACTGCTTCACCACTTACTCTGAATATTCCTTGTAAAACGTCTGTAAACAAGACAAGTTGTGTTACAACTGATAATGTAGTAACAATATCGGTCAATTTGTGATACATTATCGGTTGGTGATACGTTATCCGTTGGTTACTACATTATCAGTTGTAACACATGTGTCATCAGAGAAATTAAGATTACATCTCCAGTGTTATACATGTTTACAGAAAAAACTACAACTCCATGAAGCCCAATACCATTAGTATACCAATTTGAAAGTACATGTACTTTACATTTTACTGTCAATAAATCGTGATGATACAAATGACGTTACTGAAAAAACTATAATTATTGAATTTAAGCAGAATGCTTAACTTTGAAAGAATATCGCGGTAAACTTTTACCTAACTGCCAAAGAAATTGAGTCCTTAAAAACCAAAATCGTTTCCGTAAAATTACACTGCGTGGGACTTTATGTAGGAGCACTCTTGTCAAAACCTAACGTACAAGATCAAGTTCACCACGCGTTTCATAGCCTCTATGATAAGTGTCATCGTCCTCGCTTATAACTTAGCTCAGAGAAAAGCTAAACTGGTTGGCGTTTCAATAAGCTTTAACACAATAAGGTAGTATAATGTAGTAACCAACGGATAATGTATCACCGACCGATAATGTCACATAAATTAACCACTACTGTATCACTAACCGATAATGTAGCACAAAATTGACCGATAGTGTAGTAAAATGTACTACACTATCAGTCAATTGTTGTTACATTATCAGTCATAACCGATAGCGTAACAAGAATTGACTGATAGTGTAGCAACATTTACTACAGTATCCGTCATTTTTGTTACATTATCGGTTAGTGATACAATATCGGTCAATTTGTGTGACATTATCGGTAAGTGATACGTTATCAGTTATAGTTACTACGTTATCAGTTGTAACATGGATGATTGACCATGATCTACCACCGTGCAGTTCATGTCTTGCGCACCAACTTGTTCTCAGCAATGCGTTCACGGAGAAAAGCTATGCAGCCAACCTTGCCTTGCTGAGAAGGGGACAAAAATGGAACAAAACATTAAAATACTAGATGTCTGAGCCAAACAACGAAGAAGCTTAACTTGGGTACTATGGCACAATATGACTCCGTAGACGCTAATAACTATGAACATTCTGACAAAGTTGTACTAAATAACGTACTTCATTGCGATCCACATTTTTGCTATGGTAAGACAGGGGATACTTTATGAATTATTCGCCCTCAACAAGGCTAAAAGCCACTCAAGGTACATCGTTAAAAAAGGAATCAAAAGAAGTTTAAACCTAACCCAAACCTTTCTCTAACCCTAAGGGAAACTGAAGGTAGGAATTAACATTCCTCTTGAAACAGGAACAGGACAACCTTAGGTTGGAGGGAAACAAGCACAAGGCAGGCAAGGAAATCCAAAGAGATGCAGCACTTGGGAAAAAGCTATGGAGCTTCTCTTCAATGTAGTTCTTGTACGAAATACAAGAGACCAAAATATTCAGCCTGACTCGACCAGTTGATCCCCCCCCCCCAAAAAAAATTTGGTTTTTAATTTGTTGTGATGAGTTTCATGTACATTTAACAGAAACAACATGTTGCTTTGCAGCTTGAAAACAAATGCAAACGAGATTTACCTGAACCATGTAACTTTGGTCTTCTTCCTCCATGTTGAAGTCCAGAGTATCCAGGTAACCGGTGTTAATGCCGATCGTACGATGCACATCAGAGCCCTGTACAGTCAACGAGATGGCTTTCGTTAACTAGCTTATCGGGTTAGACACCTATGTTCCGACACACTTATGTTCGACATCCCTGTGTTCCGACTGCTCTTGTTCCTAACCTTAACCCTAACCCTAAACGGGCTATTAACACATTCTTATGTGCGGGTTATCGGAACATAGGGGTGTCGGAACATAGCGCAGTCACCGCTTATCGTAGATCGCAGTGGAAATTCAATATTGTCCACGAAGAAAAACACCACATAAAACCAAGTCACGTAAGTGGAAAGAGGAGACAATGTTCAGTACAAGGGTTTTTTACATAGTGTTGAACCTCCGAAAATAGAGATTAAGAACGAAGTGGAAGACATGTTTTTTTTTAATCCTCAACATTTTCTTTATATATAAAACTGTAGATCAGTATTACCTGAACGAAGACTCTCTTCATATTGAGGAGCAAGGTGTCCAGAATACTGCTGAAGTAGCTCCCAAGACCAGCGATTTCCTTGCGGCTGTAGCCACGGAAATGGTCCATAATCTCCAAGCCTTTGCTCTCCCCAAACGCCATCAGTTCGTGTATAGTTAACTTCGAGAAACAAAATCCCAAAAAAATAAGTTCATGTCCTTAAATGAAAGCACTCATTTTTTCAAACGTCAGCCAATTGTTGACTTTCATCCACTGAACATACAGGGTGACCACCCCCCCCCCCCCAAAAAAAAATGCAACCATAAAAAGTCTGCCTTTTAAAACAAAAGGGATAGGTAGATTTTATGTTTTGGGTATCAGATTAAAGCTGAGAGATTACTGAAACAATCATGAAAATAGCACTTTGGATTGCTGAAAAAATGTCAATTTT